TACTTTAACTTTAAATATCTTTATTTCTAAAGCTACTAGACTTTGCTAAAGCTACTAGACTCTACTAAAGCTACTAGACTCTACTAAAGCTACTAGACTTTTTAAAAAAGATATTTACTACTATAAGCTAGTACTATCTAGTACTAGCTTCTACTAGCTTTCTCTCTCTCTTTCTATATAGATTTAGCTAGACTTTTTTTCTCTTAGATTCTGCGTCTACTATTCTTAACTCTAAATATAAGCTATCTTCTAACTAGCCTACTTCTTTACGCGTAAAGTCTATTTTACACTATTATACTCTAAAATAAGCTATAATAAGTTACTTTAAACTTCTTTAAAATTTTAGAAATAATAAGTAAAAAAAGCTAATACTTACTATTATAAAGTAATTAAGAGATAGAAAATAAAAAAGAAAAATCTAACTAGCTAAAAATACCTAGAGCGTATAGGTCTACGCTAGCTCTACTAGTATAAGTAGTAGTTTTATACGCGCGTCTATACGTAATTTCTTAGAACTACTACTTTTTATAATAAATTTCTACCTTTTTATAGATATAATATATCTATACTAGCTTAAAATAAGCTATTATAAGCTAAAATAGCCTATTATAAGCTATAGTTATCTTATCTAGCCTATTAAATAACTTTAAAAGTAGATTAAAAGTAATTTACTTTAAGAGAGAAAATAATATTAAGTTCTAGCTCTAAAGAGTTTAGGCTAACTTAGTATTAGCTATAAATACCTTAGAATTACTATTATAGCTTAGTAGTAATTTATCTCTAGTTTTTTTAGAATAATATATCTACTTATAGTCTAATATTATATATCTAGTATTTAACTAACTCTATTATTTAATAACTTAACTACTTAGTTAAGTATATAGAATAAACTTATATATTCTTAATATATTATAATATTACTATAACTAAAGTTAATATATAACTTTTAATAAGCTAGCGCTTATAAGCGTTACTTATTAAGTTTTTAAGTACTTACTAGTAAAAAATTTTATTAAAAATAAAGTTAGTTTATAGAATTAAAGCTTAGTAAGCTAAAGTACTAACTCTAATACTCTAACTAATAAATTATATACTAATATTTTATTATAGTTTTATATATAATTAGATAGGTAAGTAGAATACTTATTAAATTTAGAGAATTATTTTAGTAATACTTAAGATAGCTTATATTTAGAGAAAAAAATACTAAATACTAAAAAGAATATAACTTTCTACTATAGCTTTATAGACTTCTTACAAAATTACTATTATATTTAGTAATAAGTATCTAATCTAAAAGCTTTAAGAGCTATATTAAGAATAAGGCTTTACTTTAGCCTTAAATATAAAGTCTGCTGTCTTCTTACTTTTACCTTTAACCTTTACTCTACACTTCTACTCTCTATATACTAAAAACTTAGAGGTTAGACTATATAGTTCTGTAGAATTTCTATCTTAGAATTTACTAGATTATTAAAAGAACTATAGATAGCTGCTATAAAGCTTAGAGTCTACTAGTTCTAGAAAGCCCGCTCTGCAACCGTAAATATATTAATAACTTTGTTATATTCTAGTCTGTTAACTACTAAAAGAACATACTTAAGTCTATTATAATACATTCTAGTATTAGAACGCGTACCTACTGTATCTTCTCCTCGGATCCAACATAAAAGACAGCCTTCTTCCTCGCTCTTCCCTCACTTCATATCACACTTCCGTCCTTCCTAACTACAAAATTCACGACAAGCGCCGCATGTTCCTGTGGTCTTGTTCCCAAAAATGCAACCACGATACTACGATGACTTTGCGCTCGGCGAAAAACTTGGATGTCTTCCAATCTTATTCATACGTTATACCAGATCCTAAAAACAGACTCACCAAATACATGTCGACTGGTCGAAAGCAAGCAACAAAACTAACACCATATGCGGCAAGACGTGCCAGAAAAACTTCCCAATACATCTCATGTGCGGTTGAAGTCGTCAAAGACTAACATTTTTAACATATGAGCGCGCAGCTGGGGGGCTGTATATATAAAATTCCTGTCTTCGCTGCCTGCTTCTTCTTCTCACACATCCTTGTTCCGCATATCCAAAAAACGGGAAAAAGAAGCGCATGCCGGCTATCTCTCCCGTCTCCGAAACTTCGATGAAGACTGTGTATGGTGTGCTGTTGGAAGTCACCAAAAGTTTCATCATGAACACCCCATGAGCGGCCACCGGGAGGAGTGTATTTAAATCCATTCTCTGCGCTGACACTTTCCTCTTTACCTATCCATTCTTATTCCTCTTTTCTAAAAAGGCACCGGAGCACACGATGGCCTCTCTTCTCTGCTTTCCTAAAAGAAACAAGAAACAAGATTATGCTGTGCTGCTGGAAGTCTCCAGAACGTCCTGAGCCATATCTATATGAGCGCGCAGTGGGCGGGGTATATATAAACCTTCCCCCTGCGCCGTCTCCTTCTTTCTAATCTACACATTGCCAATTGCGCATATCCAAAAAGAGTTGGATTCAGAGCCATGGTGGCTGTCTCTTCCGTCTTCTGAAAAACAAAGGATATCAATGTATGGAGTGCTTGCGGGTTTTGGTGCGATCAAAACGGGCGTTCAAGATCGTGATGAAAGTGACGAAGCTGTCCAAAGATGCCATGAGATGAACTCATGACCAGAACTCCGGTCTTGGGAACTGAAAATACCGCTTCTTCCACGACATGTGGGTGCGTTGGGAGTGTTGAAGAACTACACAAATGTCTTGATGCTTGTTTCGTTCTGGGATTCGTTTGCTGTGGGTATATAAAACCTCTGTCGCGGAATGTTATCTCTTTCTTCAATCACCTACGCTGTTATTGTTCAAACTAAAAGAAGATGAGGACAGTGTGATGTTCTTTTGCGCCGGGGATTCGAAAACAAGACATGCCGCAGACATGCGTGCGAAAAGCCGCGAAAAAGAGAGACATAATATTAGCCGGCCACTACCAATATATCGCTGTCATCGGAAGTCTGGGGTCACATACTGATGGCATTGCCCCGCTATGTAGGAGCTAGCGAGAAGACATCGAGAAGAACACGCATATGTTGCTCGGGCTCAACCATACGCTGACATTACATTCATTCGAGCTATCGTGAAGACGTTCCCGTCATCTCATCTCGCCCAATCCATCGTCATTACCACCACACCTTCGCATTTCTCTTAACCCTGCATCTCAATACCCCCACTCCCGTGGATTACCTCACCCGTACAATAGCTTCCCAACGGACTAGCAAGATGCACATAACACGTCGCCATCTCGACCGGCATTCCCGGGCGATTCAGCGGGCAAGCCCCCACACCCAAGCTATCCATCGCATCAGCCGGGTTGTTCTTCGTCGCCGGCTGCAGCGGCGTCCAGATAATGCCTGGCGCAACAGCATTAACGCGGATTCCATTTGGCGCCTGTTGCTGCGCAAGACCGCGGGTGAAAGTTACGATGGCGCCCTTGGTAGAGGCGTAGTCGAGGAGCATGGGGTTGGACATGTAGGATGCGACTGAGGCGCTGTTTACGATGCAGTCGCCGCGCTTCATGTGCTTGAGCGCGTATTTGGACATGGCGAACATGGAGATGACGTTGGTGTGGAAGGTCTTTTCGGTTACGTCGAGGTCGATTTCGGTTATGTCTGTGCAGGCTTCTTGCATGGCGGCTGTTGTATCATTAGTTTGGATTGGTGATGTGGATGAAGTAACGTGATCTCACCGTTGTTAACGAGGACGTTCAGCTTGCCAAAGACCTTCATGTGTTGCTCAACGGCTTGCTCGCAGTTCTTCCTCTCCCGCAGGTTGAGTTGCATGAGGTTTGCTTTGCGGCCTGCTTCTTCAATCTTCTTCTTGACGTATTGCGCATCCTCCTCCTCTTCGGGCAAGTACACAATGCTTACATCTGCGCCTTCTCTTGCGAATAGGATCGCTACAGCGCGTCCGATACCAGAGTCTCCACCTGTGATCAACGCGGCCTTGCCTTGCATCAGACCACGGCCTTCATATTCCTTAAGGTAGGGTTTCTGGTTCTCGTCCCAGAACTCGAGACGCGACCATTCTGCTTTTTGATCGGTCTTTGCGTCTAGACCAGGGCCACCTTCTTGGTTTTGAGGTGTGATCTCTGTGGCAGGGTATGCGGTAACTGGGCCCTTGTTGTCGCTCATCTTGAAGGTAGTGTGACTAAAGGTACGTGTAATTGGCCTGAATAGGGTAGAAGAGGTGATTGGCTTCCGGAAAACAAAGTTCGAAGATCTGATGATGGTTGTTTTGAACATCTCTGTCGATCGGGGGGTAGTAATTGTAGGGGCCAGTTTTGGTGGGGTTGGGATTTGATGTGATCGTCATCGAGCGTCATCGTTGGAATTCAACACCACGTCACGACGCTGAGTCTGGACTGAGGCTTTTGAAATTGTTCATTAACCGGTGCATAGAACTGCGATAACGAGCACACCAGGTGTGCATGGGTTTACCCATCTGATTGATGGATGTCGCTTTCTCTGCTCCAAACGCGTCTGAGCCGCTTCCCAGGTGTGCGTGCGTGCACAGATCATCCACGTCGGAAGAGCAACGACACGCTCACAATCGAGGAGAACCTTGGACGAACACCTGCTGAAGGGACGAGGGCCAAGAGTATCGGGTCCGGGACGTATAAGGATATAGTAACTGGAAGATACACCAGCGACCAATCTTAACTCCCGCATTCAAGCTTCTTTTGCGAAGCTACCTAGGTGATCAGGCCTGGAGAATCATTCTTGCCCCCAGCCTCCCGTCGGCAAGGGTGTAACGAAGGCTTGCACGTCCATGGAATGATGATAAGGTCTTGTTGATGCAGGTCGGTCACCGCAGCTCTTCGACTACCCGACGTCTCGCGTTCCAACCTAGGCCCGGCCAAGCGTCCGCTAACTTTCACGCAAGCTGAATTTTCTCATGACCAGTCTGCGCAGTGGCAGGCCGACGACAGCATTTCGAAACTATGTGCCGCGCATTTCATGCTGCTTGAAGAGAACAGAGGAGAAGATGGAGAGTTTCAGGGTCTTGGAACCTTCGTCATGATTCTATTGGAAGGGGGCGCCAGGGCCCTTTCAGGATTAGTCCGACGACCTTACCCCACCGCCCCTGATCCGTGCCGCCTTCCGCTTCCCGTCTCATCTCACCATTTGTTCTCCAAGTACTCTGCATCAACGCAGACCCAACCGCATTGTCTGTGATCTTTGTGAATACTTGGAAGTGCTTCTCGAACAACATTACTCTCTTCAATCGCCATGGACCCATCACTCGAAAGTGATATACTAAACCGAAGATCGTTAATTCTAACGTACCGAAATTACAAAAACGACACGGAGTACATCGCTGGTTGGCTCGCATAGACATCGGAACAATGCGGATAGATCAGAGCTATCACCGAGCCTGAGCCCCAGCAGAAAGCGCCGCGGAAGAGGGGAAAGGCAGGCAAAGCTCGTAAGCCAGCCAAGAAGACGCCGGATCCTGTGACCCCAGCTCAATATCCCATACGCGTCTCCGAGTTTGTAGAGATGGCTGAACACATTGCTTCATTTGATCCCAAGATCGAAGTCCCAGCTGCGCTACAAAAAGTTTTTGACCGAGTGATCTTAGCTCGGAGCAAAGTGGCTAGTTGGTTCGAGAGAGGGCACTCGACCGATTACGTCAACAACCACAGGCACTCCTACTTTATCACCGTTCTGGAAAAGGCGGCAAAACTGCTGAAGCCTCTGATACCAGAGACGCCAGTAGTTTCTGAGAACATCAAGCTACAAAACAGGTTCGCCGGGCTTACGGTCGAAGAGACGGACCCACTGGACGAACTCATCACCGAAGTTAAGGAGAAGCAATTGCCCAAAGTCGACCCTATCCCGATTGAGCAAGACGAGGAGAGTCTCGAGCACGACTTCTTCTTCGCTATCGCGACATTTCTTGAGGAGATCTACGACGTGCGAGCATGGATTGTGCGAGAGTGGGATGAATATCGGCAGACAGGTGAAGGTCTCACACGCGCGGCAGTGCTTTCCAATACGGCCGTCGATCTGGTGCGATCTGCTGAGAATCAATTCGATCAGATGCTCGTTCGTCCCAAGAAGTAAGGCTAAGCCATTGTAGTGCCCGTATACACAAGCTGACGGAGATGATTAGATACCCCGCCAAGGATTACCCTGTTTGGACTCTTCCGGCACTGCTTTACGCTCGCATGCACGATTTCTTTTACTACGGCGATGTCAAAGACAATGTCGGTAAACTCGTCAAGCCGTCTATGAGAATCCAGACAAACGATCATTTGTGCGAGCAGGAAACATATTGCATGTGGCACGTCTATAGCGGCCTAAAGGTATATTTGTTATCACAGACAGGCCCACTTCACACTCGACAATCTCACATAACGCGAGAGTCATTCGCTAGTGACGCGGACAAAATGGCGCTGGAGGTCTTTGAGACCCTGGAATGGGCTCAGTTCTTCGACGTCGCAAGTCATCCCCATCTGTCTCATTTCGCCGTCGACGAGACTGCTCGGTGTATCAAACACATGATAACTTTCAAAGAGATTCCTATATGGCCCACTGTAGCGGTTCAGATGTTCTTTGACGTTGAGTCGGTGTTTCAAGAGAAGGGCACGCTTGCAGCGCCTTTCCGCGAGTACAGAGAGACTGTTCGTAAAGCCGCGGAGGATTTCTCTAAAATCGATCCTATCGAGCGGCCATTCAAGGGATCTGCGGATTCCGACAAAAAGATAGCCTCGATCTATCAGAACATGCGTAATATCTTGAGCGACCATCAAGACTACGCGATTCGTGATCGCTGGGGAAGATTCATCCGGAAGATCAAGGAGGACATGCATGAGCCACTGAGTAAAACTGTAGACGAGCGGGATTACGGTACGTCTGGATCATACTGGTGTTACAAGAGGGCTAAAACTAACTTTCGACAGTCTTGAAAAGGCATCCGATCCGCTGCGGGCTTCTGAAGTACGAACTACAGCTACAGCTTAATCACAGAGCTTCCAAAATCGAGCATATGGCGGGCGACATCCTTTACATGGCCTGGCTGTATGTTGCGGTAAGCCGGATACTGCACCCGGAAATGTCCCGATGGCCTGACATGGTATATCTACTCAACGGTCGACAAGACAAGCTGTTCTTCGGCGAATGGCCAAAGACTCTCGACGAAGTGGGTAAGAAGATTGATCTCGGACGCGGCTACTCCATTGCCAATAAGGCGAGCAATCGGCGTTCAAAGAAGGACACCTGGGACAACAAGCAGCTGCGCCGACTCGACGACCCAACTGTGATCGGAGAATTGTTTTTGAAGCGGATGGGTGCGGAACCCAAATCAACAGCAGAAGCCCACGAATGGGTGATGAAGTTAGTCAGCCTGGTGTGCAAGCCCGAGTCGCAAAAGATCTTGGACCGACAAGAAAACTTACCCCAAGGTACTTACGAAACATCAGAGTTCTTGAAGTCCGTGGAATTGCAACGCAAGCCCTTAGCCTTGCTCGGAGAGATTCGCCAGTGGCTCCTAGCGGATAAAAACGACCTGCACTTCGACTGGTTCGGTATGTTGTCTACCTGTACAAACATCTGGAAGACAATCATGCCGGCATTTCGCAAGAATCCCGTGTTCAAAGACGACCCTAAAATCTACAACTGGAACGTTAATACTGTAATCACTGTACTCAAGACAGAATCTATCGCGCAAGACATGGGCACGCCTATGCCAATCTTTGAGGTGGCTTGGGAAACTTTAAAGCAGTTCATCCAGACCCCAGTATCAAAGGAGAGCGGCAGCAAAACATGGAAGGGCGATCTACATTTGGCCAAGCTTGTAGATGTTTGCAACCCTGCGATGACGTTGATGAACCCAGGGCCCGTCAGCTTCATGAATCTCTACGCAAACTGGGGTGATGAAGACAAGAGAGATTCTCGTGTGGGCAGAGCAGTTTGGTATGCGATGCAGGCATTTGGTGCTAGGACCGGGAAGGAGAAGAACAAAAAAGAGGGCGCGAAAGAAGAGACAGATGGTGAAGAGTCAGTCAGCGAGGTATCAGCCGCCGAGGAGCCTGTCAACGAGGAACCAGCCGACAAAGAGCCAGTGAACGATACACCCGCGGATGAGGACGAACCCAGCGAGCACTCAGGCAGCCAAGACGATGAGACGGCTGAAATCGACGAAGCAGCTTCGGATGCTGGTAGTGGCATCAGTATTCAGGAATTCTCTTTGGACCTTAATGCGCTAGCTAGCCAGTACAAAAACGGCGGCAACAATATCATCTTCATGGGCAACAAAATGAAAGCGCCGGTAGCCATCAGTCGCGCGCAGATGGGCCAGCTACGTACGGCACCCAATGGGGACTTCGTATTGCCCGGCGGACCCCCAAGCCGGTCTTCTCGAGTACAAATGCTACCCCCACGGCAGTCGAAGCGTGTTCGTGGTGTTCGTGCAATAGCTACGACAGAAGATGCCCCCGATCTGTGTGCTTGCGGTCTCAGTCGGTACGGAGTGAGTGTAAGGCCGATACCGACAATGAACACCAAGGCAGCGAAAGTGGAGCACCAATGTATGGGAGCGCTATTCGAAGGGATCGACGTACCGGACCGTGACCTTGGTGACGCTATCAAGGTAACACGGCGCAAGATTTGAGGTTCGCAAAATTGGAAAGAAAGAAGGCAGACTCGGAGCTCGTGGCACGGGACCGCGGAGGTAGCATAGCTAGTCAATGTATGTAGTCGACCACGATGTCTTCAGCACCTAGGTTTCCTGCTAGCGTTCGCTCCATGATACAAACAACCTTTTTCGAAACACGCTGTTACAGCAACGGCAGTGACGACATTGCGAACGTACCACGTACTGCTAGGTGCTCGCTGGAGATGCATCGCACCGGGCTTCCAACCTTCGACTTTCCTTGCACCTACAAAGCCTCACGGTAAGCAACCACGAGCACGACCTCAGCGCATACCAGAACGTTCGCCTTGGAATTTTGCAGCAAGGTGCAGATCAAAGCCAATGCAGTTGCACGATAGACGCTGGAAATGAAGTTCTCGCACAAAACCAATACCCGGGTGCGTGTTTTCGCTAACAGAGACATGCCGACGGACGATCAGGTAGGTTACCGCTGCTAATACCCATGGGATTGTTTCCGAAAAGCAATTTGAATGCAGGTTGCACGCGGCGCAGCTTCTCAAGATCATCAGGAACACTTCAATGCGTTGCTTTTGATGGACTATTGTACCATACTTGGACGATTGGGCAACAGCAACCCAGGAAATTGCATATGGCCTGCGCCACGAAATGACGCTGGAACAACACTCCAAGATACCAGGCGTACAACATAGAGTTTCTGTCTTTACTGGCATTCCATGCGCTCGCTTGTTCAAACTGTCGAAAGGAATGGAAAACGACCTCAAGAGGTCGCTCTTGTCCAACTGTGGTGTCCGGAGAAGGTAGACAAAGCGGGGCGCTTGATGGGCGTCTGCGATGTTACTAATCGTGCGACTACCATATTTGACTACTTTGTTTGGTAATCTCCATACGTCAGTAAGCTAATGTCTACGCCGCACACTCCCTACCGATAGTCGTCACGGCCGGTAAACTTCCAAGATGCGCTCGCATGCATCCGAATCCTCCGGATCAGACGGGCGCATAACTCAACGAGGAAGGTCAGGCCTTCTTCGTGGCGACATGTCGATCGTTGAGCGGAGAGCCAGCATCTGGACCAGAGTGGAGGAAAAGTACCAAGGCTTTCGGCAGTGCTCACGCGTGTCGCTCGTATTACCAGGGAGGCCGGAAAGCGATCAGTTGCTACGATTTCAAATGCCCGTTCGGTAAGAGTTCGCCAACCTGCGTTGTTTGAAACATAGCACGGCATTGTCTCAAACAACCAGACGTTTTCGTCGCAGGAGTGAACCAAAATTGCTGCATGCGCCGGTGATGTGTTGGGAAGCGATGGGTCTTGTCGATAGGCTGTTTATCGATAGCCCTCTGGCGGCTGAAACAGCGGCGTCGTGCGGCAGCGGAAGCCCCGTATTCACCCCTGCTGCCACGACACGCAGCCGAGGGGCGATCCGACCACGAGAAAAACAGCCCCAAGTCATTACAAACGAAAATCAACATGACATCACGCCTTTTGATTCGTTCTTTTGCGTGATGAGGTTGATCTCGGTGTTTTCCGAGATCCACCCAAAATCTTGAGACTTCGATGTCTGGGCTTCGAGAATACGAAATGTACGTATGCAAACTCCACATGAGGTTGGGAATGGCACAGCAGGCTGAGACACCGACAGCTGCGTGACAGAATTAGTACTATGCAATAAGAAGGGGCACAGTTCGTCATCTCTACGCCGTACGTAGGCGCGCAGATGACTACCAATGATAGTGGGTGTGTTCCTCTACACGCCGGGCGAACCCAGTTCGTGACTAAGAAACTAGTTCTTTCGTACCTACATTAGCGTCAGGCACACACTCCACCAGCTGAGCGCCGGCGCACCTCTTTGGTCAGCAGGCCGCCTGTCAGAGACAGCAGAAGCCACCGTGCAAACCCCTCACGGGCGTCGGGAAATGCGGGGCGAAAAGTAAGCGCCTCCGAAATGATGGCCTGGACATTCCGGGCCACCTTGGCTGCTTCTGGAATGCTGGGTGGTGAGCATTCTTAAGGGCTGCTGCTCGCCCTTGCAGAGGGATATCCTTCACGCTCACAGCTAGCAAGTCACTCTCTCTTCAGTCATTCATTGACCAGTCATTCATTCTATAGCCCGGTGCTATCAACAAAACACTCATTCTTCTTCACATTCTTTATCACATTCTTCACAAGGTATACCCACCAACAAATATACCCACAAAACCGTTATCTCTACGACCAACATCAACTCAACCATGTCCATGTCCAAGATCTTCCAGACTGGCGCTCTTGTAGCTGCCCTCATCGCTACCGTGGCCGGCCACACCTCTGTCGAGCAGTTCGAGGCTGGAGGCAAGACCTACCCCGGTTTCCGTCAGGCTTCCAAGCAGGATCCTGGTAACAAGTCGCCTGCTTGGTGGACCAACCAGGGCTGGGGATACCAGCCCATCTACGGCGACAAGCTGAGCCAGTACGTTCATACCAACCCTAGCTCTAACCTTTCTTGCATGTACTAACCGAACACCAGCCCCGACATCATTGCCCACAAGGATGCCTCCCCCTCCCCATACACCGTCGAAGCCCCCGCCGGCCAAGACGTAACCTTCCACTGGCACCACGAGGGCAGCTGCGGCTCCGGAGAAGAAGGCTGGGACTGCTCTCACCACGGCTGGACAGCCACCTACATGGCATCCTGCAACGGCGACTGCAAGAACGTCGACAAGACGAAGCTCGAGTTCTTCAAGATCCACCAAAGCGCCCTCCTCGACTACCGCAAGGGCCGCTACTCCTCCGGCCAAGCCCAAGGCCAGACTGGCTACTGGGGCACCGACGCCATCTTCTACGACAACGGAAACACCCAGAAGGTTACCATCCCTTCTGAGATCCCCAGCGGCAACTACGTCCTCAGGACTGAGGTTGTGTCTATCCACAACAACGGCGATGTTAGCCAGCGTCAGTTCTGGCCTCAGGCTTTCAACATCAAGGTCACTGGCGGCGATGACAGCAAGCAGGTCCCTGCTGGAAAGAAGGGTACTGAGCTCTACAAGGCTAGCGATGAGCTTCTCCAGTGGGACCTCTACTGGCACCAGGCTGGCGAGACTATCGAGGATGCGCCTGGTCCTAAGCTCGCTGCTGTTGCTTCCGTTCAGAAGCGTGCTCACGCTCGTGACTTCTCTGCTTAGGCAAACCTTTTTACACTTTCATCTTCTCTTCTTTCTCCGTCTGATTAGGGATGGCTGGTCGCATGCAATACGGGCTAGCTGCGCGGATTATAAAATGGGTTATACGGGCATGGGATGGGGTTTAGGCTTTCACGGACTGGGACTGGGCTTTTTCTTCTTGGTCATCATCGCTTGGGGGACTGGGTCTTTCGATAAGGATGACGATGCGACGACCTTTTCATGATTCACTTCTTAGATACTCTTAGGCATTACTGCAATGCAAGTTTCGAGCACAGCGCTCAACCACACAATGATTTTGGTCTTCCTGATTCCGTGATCTTTTCCTCTTTGTGATACGTGGCTTGTAGCGGCCATTGACTCGTCGTGTGAGCTAGGCGTGGCCGTCGCTATTCGACTTGGCTGAAGACTTCGGTTTGACTAGTCGAACGGCAGCTTCGCGATTCTCTGGAAACCTCATTTCCCCTTGGCTAATCACCCACCGCAGAGTTCATGCCACACTCTGACGCGAACCGCCCGATGCTTACAGGATATACACACGAATCGGGTTATCGTAGTACTCACTCGGAATCTTAACCCCCTCACGATCCATCCATCTAACACTCATAGTCCACGCGTGAAGCCGCATCATCATCGTCCACCAGACATCTTCATACGAAATGTTCTTGTTCCCATTATGATGGTGGCTCTGCTCCATTTGTTCAACGAACTTCGGTACGTTGTCGGCGTAAATATAAGCGCGCTCAGTAAAGATGGGGTCCAGACCAGTGGGAAGCGGGTGACCTCTCCCTTTATTTTGCTGTGCAGCGGTGTTCCGCAAGGCTAGTTCGTAGCTTTGCACGTTGACGGATATGTGGCAACGCACTGCGTGACTGTAAAGAGGGACATAAAGCCCCCCTAGAGAGCGTTCGAGGTACGCGGTCGTGTCGACGAATGCTCTCTTGAAGAAGTCTAATTCTCGAGTGTCTGTTCTTTCGATCCGGTGTTCCCCCTCGAATTTCCAGGGGGCCAAGCCTTCCCAGCTTTCGTAGAATTGAAGTACATGTTGTTTGCAATTTGACAACTGTGCCTCTTGCCTTTTGAGTAAAAACCTCCAGACGTTGCGTGACTCAGGCCTCTCGCCCATTGTGGTCAGCGGAAATGGGAATGGATTGTCAACGGCATTCAATGCCATGTTGTCTATGAGTGGCCATTTGCAGAAGAGGCCGATGATATCCGTAAACCCAGGAAGTCTGTGAGCGGGATCTTGGCACGATATGCTTGCCTCCAAAGCTAGTCTCGCATCGCCATGTATTCCCATGATGTCTGATGAGTGTCTGAGATCCGGCACATCAGGCATTTGTTTATTCCTGAGAAGCAGACCCTTATCGCTGGCGATAATGGGAAGTATTCCACAAGCCATCTAAGCTATGTCAGCCAGAGAGAACTCCGATGCTATGGGTTGCTCTTATGGGTAGCGGGACGTCGCACACAGCTGATCCAAATAGGAGCCCTTGAAGAAGACAATGGTCTTGGATGAGCGCAGCATGATCGCCGCAAGATCAACCGGAAGATATATATGTAATATCACGTACCTGGTCTGCAGCCGTACTGTTTATACGCCATTCGTGGTCTGGAAAGGGGTGAGGCCCAGTTGTGCTATATTCCACGACCAGCCCCATGCCGCGTACAATAGAAGTGGAGAAGCTTCGTCCGCTACCAGCTGCGCGCATCTTGCCCTCGTCAATCCGAAAGTCTGACCAGGCCATGCCCAATCGATGGGCCATAGTGATCAAGCATCCCACTGTGGTACTCGCGACTGGTCGCACGATATCTGGTGGCATGAAGTCCCAAGAACGTATCTTTCCTGCGGAGAGGGGAACGCCAAGTCAGTGTAAGGTTTGACAATTTACGCAGACCCGAGACCTACTTGAGATACATATCAGCTTCAAATCGTTTGGCAATATGTCGTGTGGCTGATGCTGATAGCGGTTCATGACGGTTTCTCTTTGATGAATGTGAGCGTCTTCCAATAGAGTTATCCAGGTGGGCACGTCATCGGCTGTATGCATTCACATGTGAGCTTCATCTCTAGCCGGCTAGTTGCTGGGAAATTTACCATAAGACTTTGACAGATAATGGCTCCTACAGAAGGTGCCCAAACGCGAGCCTTCCGTGCCCAAGAGCGGTGCTGATGTCAAATGAGGGACTAAATAGCGTGCTTTCTGCATGCGCCAATATATCGACTTAGGGTCCGGGAAAGTCGGTATGGGCCTGTTCTGATCGAGAAGGAAAGACTCGCGATGTCCGCAATGTGACATCGTCGCCATTTCGAAGTGAGGGGTCGTCACGATGACTTCGTATCGGAACGAGCTCCTACTTAACTTAGCATACCTGACGTTGAGTTGGTCACCTTATTTGAGAGTAGATCTCTCACCATCTGAACTTCAGCTCAACTAACTTGTACCAATCTCCTATGACAGAAGGCTGGCATCTACGGTACCCATCTGCCGTCGAAAAGAGCTGGGCTATGAGTTGGCCAGCTGCGATTACCAAGGCTGAGATCGCTATAGCCATAGCGGCTGTCGCCACGTTGGCTTCGTTAACCATATCGCAATGTTTTTGACCAGACACAGCGAGGAGCTCATCAATTGTCAGTAGTAGTAACTCTCACTGCGTGTAAAGTCGAGGTTGCGAAAGAGTAAGAGTCGCAGAATGGTTACTTAGGCAGGCTTGAGGGCTGATGAGCTGAACCGTTAGCCTGCTCACTCATGCAAGCCTTTGCCTAACCAAGACGCGCCGCGTATTTTGGACCCCATCTTATCTCGTGGTAAGTAGGCGTCAACCTAGATACACCGTTCGAGGTCAACGCGAGTGCCTGTTTCGGTGCAGGAGCCGTCCTTGCAGGTTGCCTAGGTAAGCGCCAGCACCCCGCTCCTGCCATCTCGTCCCACCTCAGCCCCGCCACTTCGATCCTCCGGCCAAGACAAGACGCCTTCGAAGCCATCGGGAGCTTGGAGAACAGTGACTATCTAGTTGTATCATCCGAGCTCTTCGATTTCGAAGGCTTTTGTGCGTACATAATTTTCCAATTGTGAACATTTGATAATCTTCACCGCGGCAATGGTTTAAGGGTAAAATCCAAGCTTCCCACGCTTCATACGTAGCCTGCTTGGGCTCCGAGTTCGAGTCTCGGTTGCCGCAAGCCTCATTGTTTTTGCGCCTGTCGTGCACATGAAGTTTGCCGGTTTTCTAAACTTCAGTACGTTGGGTAAGAGAAGCTTCTCTTTTTGCGCGGCGTCGCGACATGACATTGGCGCCGCACGTTAAAGGAAGAAAAGAAGAAGGGATTAGGAAGGTGACTGAAGTAGTAAGTGTCGCAAACAACAATGTGCGATAGGAGTTAAAGTCGTGTGCGAGGCTCATGTGGGGTTCAGCAGCCGCCCGTAGCGCTGCGTCATCGCTCCCAAACACGATCCAGCAGCTCTCCAGCAACACCAAGGCACACCCCACCGACCCCTCAACCACCCGATATGGCTTCCAAGATCGAAAAGACGCTTGCGCGACAACGTGAAAAGTAAGTTCATCTCTCATGATCTCGCAAGAAGCAATGGCTAACCCTGCCCAGAATCGCCGAAGGCCAATTCTACGAAGCCCACCAACAACTCCGCGTAATCGCATCCCGCTACACCAAAGCCTCCGATTGGGCATCCGCAACCTCCATCCTACATTCTGGCGCGCTGTCACTTCTTCAGGCAGGACAAGGTGGCTCGGGCGGTGACCTATGCATATTCCTCCTCGACGTATACAACAAGGGGGAGGTGAAGGTAGACGCAGAGAGCAAAGGACGACTACTAGGCCTACTACGCGCCTTTCCCAAAGATGAGCCTACAAAGAAGAAGTTCGTAGGCGAGATGGTAGCATGGAGTAGTCGATTTGGCGACTATCCCGCCGGCGACCCAGAGATACATCATGTCGCGGGAGGACTATACGCTGAAGGTACGTCCATCACGCCCCCTACTCTACCCATATCCCACGACCCTCCTTCAAACCGACCATACTAACACCCCAATCTCCACAGACCTCGAACCCTACGAAGCAGAACGCCACCTCCTCCTCGGCACCCAAGACTCCGCCTCCACCCTCTCCTCCCTCCACTACTCCTGGTACACCTCCGACGCGCCCCACACCGCGCCCCTCTACCTCGCCCGCGGCACCCTCCCCTACCTGCTCACAGGAAACCTGCGCGCCGCAAACAAACACTACCTCCTCTTCACCTCGTCCCTGCAACGCGCGCCAAACCCGCCCACGCAGCCCGTTTCTACAAAAGCCTCCGACTTCACCGTATACCCTTCACTACCGCTGTTGAACTTCCTGGGACTGTTGTTGCTGAGTGTAGAGCGCGGGGACCCGAGTTTGTGGAGGCAGCTCAAGAGCCATTATGCGGGGGATCTGAAGGATGTGAATTGGGGGGAGGCGTTGGATCAGGTGGGCGAGATGTATTTTGGGATTAAGATTCCGAGGCAGGGGAACCCGATGTTTGATATGCTGGGGAGTATGTTTGGGGGTGGGATGGGCGGTGGTGGTGCGCCGGCGAAGAAGGCTGTTGGTGGGAGGCCGCCGGCTGCTGGGCTGGATTGAGCAGATTGTACGGATACGGGGTGCTAGATGGACAGGCTCTGCGCTTACAGTGCCTAGATGGGATGTGTTGCAGAGGCGGAGAGAAAGCTTTCTAGAGTTGGGTACGAGATACAGCAGAAGAGATACCATTTCACCAGACGAGGTCAGAATCTGGAAGCGATTGATGTGTTCATTCAGTCATCTCAAAGCTCATGAGCTTTTGTCTATACCTACCATTTCCATCAAATACCTTCTTCCTTCTTGCATCCAGGCGAGCGACCACCTTACATAGGCACAGTCTTCTCCTTGAACACAACGCCATACTGGTCCTCAAGCGTCTTCATCAACGGGCGGCAGATCTCGGGGCTCATGGGAGCAAGGATACCCTTCTCGCTCAGAGTACCATCAAGCACCTGCTGCACAGCAACCGCGCAAGGAACACCAACAAGCTTAGCCATGGCAGAGTAACCCTTAGGGTCACCGTAGTCAGCCAGAGTGCAAGTGCGAACAGCCTTGCTGCCGTCCTTGTTCTCAATCTCGAACCTGTGCTGCAGCATGACCATGTCGCGCTCGTCGTTCTCGTACTGCATCTTCTTCTCAAGGGTAGCACAGAGGGTGTCAAGCGGGTTTCCGCGAGCCTCAATCTGCTCGTCGGAGATGAGACCGATCCAGCGGAGACCAGTGATGATGCGGTCCTTCTCTTCTGTGCTGGCGAACTTTGTCCGCGAGGAAATGGCCCAGATGAGGTCCTCGTCCTTGTCGCTGGATGCACCAATGATCTTGGCAGTGGCGTCGCGCCAGGTGCGCTTCTCGCCTTCCTTGAGGAAGTCCTTGGGGTCTTCGGACAGGAAGCCAATGTCGACGAGGCACTTGATGTACTCTGGGAAACCTTGGTAGCGCAGAGTGCCGCGGATGATGGTCTGGCACTCCGGGATGTTGTAGCGCTCCTTGTAGGGTGTGGAGTCGCGGTTGGGGTATGCGACGAAGGCGTAGCCAGGGTAGATGAAGTAGGGCTTTGCCTCGGCCATGAGCTCGGGGCCTTCGACGGACTTGACCTTGCCGTCTTGGTAGAAGGCAGCCTGGTTTCGGAGCGCGAGGAGTACGCCGCGCGACGACCAGGAGAACTTGTAGCCGAGCGGGTTGTCTGAGCACTCTGGTGCGGGGAGACCGCCGCAGTATGACTTGAAGGAGAGGATCTTGCCACCGGCCTTGTGCACCTCGTCGATGGTGAGGACGGCGGAGAGATGGTCGACACCGGGGTCGACACCGATCTCGTTCATGACGGTGATGCCGGCCTCCTTGGCTTGGGCGTCGAGCTCCATCATCGCGGGCGAGACGTATGAGGTTGTGACGACGTTCTTCTTCTTGCGGATCGCCGACTTGATGACCGTCGCGTGGTATGTGTAGGGGATGAGGGAGATGACGACGTCGACCTTGGCGACTTCGGCGTCGAGGGCGTCGGCATCGTTGACGTCGAGCTGGGTGTTGTTAGCGAGAGCTACGGATGGGTGGGGTATTCGTTCGTACGCTGATGGCGTTGGTGTTGGGGATGCCCTTAGCCAGGTCCTGAGCCTTCTGGAGGGTACGGCATGCTACTGTGACCTTGACGCCGGACTTCGCGAGCACGTCAACAGTTGGGCGTGTACTGTAATTGTCAGTTTGTTGTAGGTTGAGAGGGTTGATAGATGACTTACACGAAACCAGCACCGAGCAGGAGAGCGGTCCTATCACCAATCAGCCAAATTCCACCACAACAATCCCAAATGAGCACCTACTTTCCGCTGTATGCTCCAGCAGCCGCCCCGCTGACGTTGCCCATAAGGTTTTGTACTTTGTCTGCATCATCAATTAGACAACGTTCTCTTCTATCCGTAATCTCGACTTACTGGTGATGGCCTCCATGATGTGTGATTTGGATGTAATTGCCAAGATGTGAAAAAGTTTGGGGCGAGATTATATCTTTGGCGTTGACTCCGGATCGGAATAGAGAGAAATCGGCGGGGTTACTCCGTCATCGCTCCTGAAAGTGGGGCATGCGCGGCGCGTCACGCTGGAGATCTTGGGCTTTGGCAGACCGATGGATGTTCCGAAATCAACCGCATCTTGGGCAGTTCACCTGGTAATACGCGTGCAAGATCGTGTGTAGCCTCCTGGTGTTACTGTGGTTTACTTTCACCGTTGCCTGGGCTTCCCAGGAGAGTTTCGCGATGTACGATAATGATCAACGCGTTCAACTGCAAATATATCTCGCCAAGCGGCGTCCGAAATATATTTTGAATTCAGGCACAATTGTTGCAGTGCGGCCTTTCTAAAAAGCCGTTCTTTCATCTCAATTTGACTTGGTGAAGATGGGATTGGACTGTACAACATCTGGTCTGGGGCATCTCGAAAAGGGAAGTGGGTCATTGAGCTGCGCCAAGTCAGCTAGGTCGTATTTCCACTAGCACGGTTTCCGCGGACTTGCCAGGTACGCGTTTCATATGCGACGACGACGAGCACCACCATCCACAACTTTGGACCAGAACTGAACGTAGCAGCTTCTACTGTGACCTACTACTCCGCTTATAACAGGCGCGTATTGTAACCACACACGACAATCAAAACCAGGCAACTGCCATTATGCCTTCAGCCGTGGACCCTGACGATGACCTATGGGTGGCCATCAAACAAGTAGATAAACCCGTATAAGTGTGCGCATATTGTATGTACTGACAGAAACAGATCTCCCAGTCATCCGTGGGCTCAGACTACATCGACCAGCTAATCCCCATCATGAAAGACGCACGCTACTCAAATCAACTACAAATCACATTCGATCGCTATGCCAACGATCGCGAGAGTGAGATTGAGCGCATATGCAATGCGAACCATCAAGATTTCGTTAGCTCGGTCGACTCACTACTGAGGATACGCGACCAGACCGTGCAGATGAGTGGTGAGATTCTACAGCTGAACGAGTCGATCCAAGAGAGTATCGAGAAGCTAGCGGAGCAGAAGAAGGCGCTGGTTGATTCGCGAGGCGTGCGCCAAAATATCGATGAAGCGTCGCAAGCGCTGAACGCGTGTCTGAACGTATTGCGCATTGCCAACTCGGTTCAGGACATGCTGAGGGAAAAGAACTACTACGCGGCGTTAAGAGCTTTGGATGAGTTGCAGACGATTCATTTGAAGGAGATCAATCGGTTCAAGATCGCGAATGTGATTGAGAAATCTATACCGCAAACCCAAGAGCAGATCAGAGAAGCAGTCAAGAACGACCTGAGTACGTGGCTTTATCGCATCCGCGAGTCGGCGCAGTTTCTGGGCGAGGTTTCATTTTACTACACCGATGTACGGAGAACGCGCAACCAGGAGCGCGCCGAAGCCGACACACGTTTCTCGAAGTTCAAACTGAACTCAGCAATCGAACTTGTGGCCGATGAGACCGACGAGTTTGACGTGCTGAACAACGAAGAAGCTGGAAACGAGACGGACTTCTCGCCCTTGTTTGAAGCTATGCACATCAACGAGACGCTTGGCAAGAGCGAGCAGTTCAGAGCAGAATACGCATCAGATCGGCGGACGCAGAAGGATTTGATCATACCGAATAAGCTGGATCTACTGGATGAGGAATGTAGTGACTTGAGCAGCTTGCTGGAGAGTATCGCGGGGTATGCGATTATTGAGAAGGCTACCATGTCTAAAACACTCAACCTACGGTCGCAGGCTGATGTAGGTAACGTTCGCCCATTCCCGTGAAGCACTGCTAACAAGAGCATAGGTTGACGAGCTATGGGACTCGATGTGTCAAAGCGCGATCAATCTCATCACGAGCCAACTTCATACCGTTGAGAACGATGAACTGCTCCTGAAGATCAAGGGTCGCATAGCGCTCTTCATGCTGACTATGGAGGTCCGTCACACACTCACAACTCCTCTGCTCTCTACTGACTGTCATAGAAATGGGGCTACTCCGTCTCCGCAATGAACGACCTCCTCCTCACCCTCTTCTCCAAATACTCCTCCCTTCTCAAAGCCCGCTTCAGCGAAGACTTCAGCGAGATTGTGCACACAGACGACTACATGCCCATGCCCATCAACTCAAGCGAAGAGTACGATAAGGTCGTCTCGGTATCCTGGTACAATCCTCCGGCCTCCAACGAACCCCTCACCTTCCCATGTGTATTACCCTTTTCGCAGATGTATCCGCTATGCTGCATCGATATCCGGAATTTCCTCAACCAGATCTACCTGTTCAGCGACGACTATTTCCAGAAGAGTAGTGTCATTGATGAAACACTGAGGCAGAGTTTGGATGAACTGCTATGCGAGAAGGTCTGTGGAAGCTTGATCGAGAGGTTGAGTAGTCAGTATCCTGGACAGATTGTGCAGATCTTGACGAACCTGGAACACTTCGAGAATGCCTGTGTCGAGCTGCAAGACCTGCTCTTTGAGGCGCGTTCGTCGCCCTCAGCAACAGGCCCCGTCGTCCTGGCCGCAACCGATCGCTTTGCCAAAGCCAAGAACACCGCCTCCAACCGCGTCTTCGAGCTCGTAAACAGCAAAATCGACGACTTGATCGAAACAGCAGAGTACGACTGGATGGCCACCAAGCCCGAGACAGAACCATCGACGTACATGTTAGAGCTGACTAGGTATCTCTCCAACATAATGTCCTCGGTCCTTCTCGCGCTCCCCACAGAGATCAAAGAGTTCATCTACTTCGACGCTCTATCCCACGCGTCAACCGCCATCCTCGACCTCCCTCTCGCGCAGCACATCAAACGTATCTCTCCCGCCGCCGTCGCAACCCTCGCCAACGACACAGCCTTCCTCAGCCAATTCGTCAGCTCCCTCAACAACCCCATCTTGATGGAGAACCTAGACGAATTGACGCAGACAGTCGCGCTGATGGGCACAGACGACTCCCTGGAGTTCTTCGACATCGCGCAGAGGAACAAGAAGTACAGTAAAGTAGATCAGATGAAGGGCGCTATCTTATTGGAGAAGGTACAAGAAGGGGCGCAAGTCGCAGCGCAGAG